CTTAGGGCTAAACTACATAAAAATACGTCTCGGGGTTCTAAGGTTTATTATTTATTTATTTACTTTTAAAACAGAATGTTACATCATTAATAATTCATATGAAACCTTTACCCATTATTACATTATCGGACTCTAATGTTTAGTTATTATATTAGAGCTAACATATAAATGTCTCAAAATAGTTAGCATGTGAAGTCGTGTTCCAACACTAGAGACCTGTAACGACCCAAATTTTAAAAATAAAATTTTCCTTTTTAATTAATAAACACACTTGCATAAACCATGAAATTCCAACATATTTGTTTTCAAATCCACATTCATTTTTGTTTAAATCATCAGAGTGTCCCAAAACATATTAGTGAAAAATAGAGATAAAGTGCACGCCGCACCATCACGCCTTGCCCTTACCCTCAGGCTCAGATGTACCTGAAACAAATACACAAATGGTAAGCTTGAAAGCTTAGTGAATTCCCCAGAGCATACCCACACACAAACACGTACAACATATCATGCTAGTTATCAGCTATACAAACAACACATAAGGAAGCCCTGGAAACCCTCCAGGCTCTTACTCTAGGTGCCGTGGGAACCCCCACATGGTCATGGCCCAATGCTTCGGGAACCCCCCGAGGTCTTTGACTTAGGATGCCAAGGAAACCCTCCAAGGTCTTACACCTAAGTGCCTCGGGAACCCCATGAGGTCTTTGACCTAGGATGCCAAGGAAACCCTCCAAGGTCTTACACCTACGTGCCTCGGGAACCCCCCGAGGTCTTCCATACACAATACACAGAAACAACTAGCACATTACATATCAAATAATCCAAGTAGCATATACGTAACAACTAATGGGCCATCCTTGGTGCCTTCGACTCATTGGTATGGTGAGGAGACTTACCTCTGTCTGCTGAATACCAAAGCTGATCTCCTAACAGTCTGAATCTCCCATGCTGAATAATAATATTAATTAATGTTAGGACCTTAGATTAGTCAAAGGAAAAACCCAAACTCCAAACCCATCCATGAGGCCTATTTATCCTTCCCTTGTTGATGGGCCCAGAATCCAGGTCCAAAATTATTAATGGGCCTCTTGTCCCAATAAGGCCCAACCAAAGTATACATGGCCCATAACAGATGATATAGCCCATAAGTCACAGAATGCAATCAATCCAATAACCAAAATGAAGCCCAATAGCTCAAAGGCACAAAACAGATCCGGCCCAATCTGTAGCGCGTACGCTCGGCGTACCATTATGGTAACAATTAATCCAAGTAGCACGTTACATATCAAATAATCCAAGTAGCATATATGTAACAATTAATGGGCCGTCCTTGGTGCGTTCGACTCATTGGTATGGTGAGGAGACTCACCTCTGTCTGCTAAATACCAAAGTTGCTCTCCTAACAGTTCGAATCTCCAGTGTTGAATAATAATATTAATCAATGTTAGGACCTTATATTAGTCAAAGGAAAAACCTAAACTCCAAACCCATCCATGAGGCCTTTTATCCTTCCCTTGTTGACGGGCCCAAAATCCAGGTCCAAAAATTATTAATGGGCCTCTTGGCGCAATAAGGCCCAACCAAAGTATCCATGGCCCATAACATATGACATAGCCCATAAGTCACAGAATGCAATCAATCCAATAACCAAAATGAAGCCCAAAAGCTCAAAGGCCCAAAACAGATCCGACCCAATCTGTAGCGCGTACGCTCGGCGTACCATTATGGTAACAATTAATCCAAGTAGCACATTACATATCAAATAATCCAAGTAACATATACGTAACAATTAATGGGTCGTCCTTGGTGCCTTCGACTCATTGGTATGGTGAGGAGACTCACCTCTGTCTATTGAATACCAAAGCTGCTCTCCTAACAGTCCGAATCTCCTGTGCTGAATAATAATATGAATCAATGTTAGGACCTTAGATTAGTCAAAGGAAAAACCCAAACTCCAAACCAATCCATGAGGCCTATTTATCCTTCCCTTGTTGATGGGCCCAAAATCCAGGTCTAAAAATTATTAATGGGCCTCTTGGCCCAATAAGGCCCAACCAAAGTATCCATGGCCCATAACAAATGACATAGACCATAAGTCATAGAATGCAATCAATCCAATAACCAAAATGAATCCCAAAAGCTCAAAGGCCCAAAACAGATCCGGCCCAATCTGTCGCGCGTATGCTCGGCGTACCATGATGGTACGCGCAGTGTACTTGGGTCTCAAGCACTTTCTCTATGAAGTGCTTAATACCCGATTCCTTTACGTCCAAAAGCCAGATCTGAGTTGTTTAATACATTCTAAGGCATAAAGTTGCCAACTTTACGCCTTTGCATGCCTTACATACACCCAAAACCTTCATTAAGACCTCTCCAAGGTCTTTAACCCATGCATTAGACCAATACTTCCACCAAGGCTCCATTTTTATGCTTCAAAACGACCAAGAGACCTCAGATCTGCCATTCTCCTATCATGGAGTTGCTTAACTCGTCAAAAGAGGTCCAGAATCCAACAAAGGGACAAAACTAGAAACCCTAGCTAGATCAAAAGATTTAAATGGAAAGGTGCAAGCTTTTTACCTCCAGAAGCCTTGCAAGATGACCCCAATGCAGATTCTTGAAGCACCAAACTGATCTAAGCTTTCTTACCAACTCTCCTTCTTGAAAGAACTCCAAAATGGCCACCAAAACCTTCTTCTTAGGCTCCAACTCTCACTGACACACTAACTCAGTTGTAGGAAGACGAAATGGGTATAAAGAGACTGATAGGGTTTGGTCAAAGAGGCTAAGAGATATTTAAATAGGGGACAAGTATAGGATTTAGGGTTTTGGCCCTCTGATGCGTACGCCCGGCGTATTCTCACGTACGCCCAGCGTACGTGAGGCTCCTCCGCGAGTACACTAAGCGTACTAATAGGTACGTCCAGCGTATTTAAGTGACCAATTATGCTAAAACGTAACTCTTGAGGGTTTCAAGACGTACCAAGTTTAGGGTGTTACAAGACCAATGAAATGGAAGAGAATGAGGAAGTTGATTATGAACCAACCATCATAGATAAGATCCAAGCATTCACGATCGACATGATGGCTAAGCAAGAAGATTGAATGATACATAAGGTGCAAGTAGAAATGCTTGAAAGATAAAGAGTCTTAAGTTCGAGATAAAGCGAGGACGGTGTATGGAGAACCTCACAATAACGAAGCAAGTGATGATAACTATGATCGATCATTCAGAAGTATGGGAAATGAACCTCCTACCGAGAGTACATCGAGGGGTAAAGGAGTAGCAAAGGGGAATCATATCTACGAAGACTCCAACATGTGTAGACTACCAAAATATAAGGAACCCTGGACCCGATGGTGTTGCATAATTGGATAATTGAGATGACTTCATATGCTTGTCAGTGCTTGGAAAGTCAGAATGTGAATTTCGCAATAATTGCACTCAAGAAAGATGCTTTAGATTGGTGATTGGAACTCAATGGGAGCATGGAACTTAAAGTTTTAGAAATGATGATATGGGATAAATTATTCGAAAGGATGAATGAGAGTTTTTGTACCAAAGAAGAGATATGTGAGCGTGAAAGGAACTTCATGGATTAATTAAAAGATTGTCGTAACAGAATAATTCAATATTTTCCCAAACCTTCCTTAAGTCTCTCCAAGCTTCCAAAACTTTGAATTAAGAGGGAAGAGATGTTTTGACAGTTTAATTCAATATTCCCCCCTTTGGCTAACCCTAACATAAAATAACTCCATATTTTTGGACCCAAGTCTAGATAAGTCAAAGTCAAACTCAAGTTTCTATATTTGACAAAAAGTCTAACTCAAGTTCCTATATTTGACAAGTTTGGCCTTTTAAACTTCAAAATTGTCTATTTGACCCAAATTAGCCTTCTTCATATTAACTTGAAACTTTGAGATCCATAAATGAACTTAAAACGTGTAATGAGTCGAGTCATATTTTATAAGGTTTTAATCTAATTTTTGATGGAGATTTAGAGATGTATATACATGTTAAAATATTTTTTGGGCGAGTTTAAATCGAATTTATTTAATATTTTTTGGCTGAGTTTAAATCGAACTTACTTTATTTAATACAATTCTTATAGAAAATTCAAATTATTTGAGCATGTGGAGTCAACTTCAAGAAATGAGTTTTCGGATTATCGAATGGATGTTGAATTGTCACTATTTGTTAGTGCTATATAAGTTATAATCGATTTATAGAGGAAGTTTTTAATTATTTTTAACTTTTGTTTTTAAAAAAAGTAATTAGAGAAAAAAATTGTTTGATAATACGATCTTTACTATTTCGAGCTTCTAGATTTTATCAGCTATATTGCTGTTTTTCTTTTTTTTTTTTTCCTTTTTTCTTTGTTTTTTGTATTTTGTTTTTATTTTTATGTTTATTTTTTTGTAAAACATAAACCTAATATAAAAGTGTTTTTTGGCACCATTACTTGTCGTTCATTAAACATAAATTGCTTCGTATGTTTTCTAAGATCATACGGTATGAGCCAAAAACGAAAAGCAACATGCTGATGTGGCAAACTTGTTGAATCTCGTTATGGTGGATATGGTGGATCTTGTGGTAACGAGAACGAAATAAAACAAGAAAAATAATTGGTTATCTCCTTCATCAACCAATCAAATAATCTTCTTTATTTTCTCTCTCTACCACTTATAATGATATAACACCTGAAACATCATTTCCCCATTGGTGTTATGATGGTATTATGGATGAGGTGGCACCAATTTGATGTATATCCTGTTACCCACATCCAATGCTCTAATATAGTTTTTAACTAAATCTCAAGTTATGTGATTTTGTTTGTATGTACGTTGTTTTTTTTTTTTTTTTTTTTTTTTTTTTTTTTTTTTTTTTTTATCAATGAAACACTAAAACATTCATAATGATTTACTCACCAAACATACATTGAACCTAAATCCACACATGGAATCAAACCCACCGGCACATGTGGTCATCAAAAGCCATCTCATACCCATCGCCCGACCACATTTATTAACTAAAAACCATAAAATATTTTGTAATAAGAAAAAGATAATATATATATATATATATATATATATATATATATATATATATATATATATATATATATATGTTTGTGTGTGAGAGTGATGTTCTTACCAAACTGTTTATGTACATGGACCGAGCACTTTTATTGTATGATGTGTAAGTATTGAACGAGAATGTGCAATTTTATATCATAACTGATATGTTGTTTTGAATCTAATTAAGAGAAAGTTAAATGTTGGGACTAACTCCAACATTACATTGATAAGTAAATACTAAATTTATTTTTCCTAATATGATGATAAGAGCATTCACGTCTTTTGTCACATTATCTGAGTCTCATGCTCGCCAAAACATAATATATACTATCTAAGCCCATTAAAGTAAATTCAAGTTTACTTAAAAAAAAAAGAAAAAAAAAAAAAAAAACTTGTATTTTATAATCATGTCAAAAGAGGCCATAACACAGTTTTTATATAATCTTAATATATATTTCAAGCACAGGCAACCTGTCGTTGTTTAGTCATCTTCTCAAGATTCATTGAAACCAATTCTGTTAAATTTGGATCTTCAAAAGCCAGCTCAGCACCAAGTCTACACCAGAAAAAAAAACATTATCATATATAAATTGCAACAGTTTGGGAAATGGTGGGGCCCACCAAAATTAAGGAAATTAAAGAATTGTATTAAATTGTATGCATATTCTTATCATCCTTTCCCCTTTATGAAAAAGTGATAAGCCCCACATAGACACTAAATAAACTGTAAAAGCTAATAAAGCCCTGATTTTCTGATTATTAGATAATATGGGAATTCTGCTGTAAAGCATTAAAAAGAGAATAAAAGTAGAAACATTAATTAAAAAATAAAAAATAAAAGAGATTCTCATCTGAGTGTCTTACTTTGGATCCAACACCAGTTTTTGAACTTCCTTAATTGATGAACTTGCTGCATAAAGGGAAATCTTTCCAACCTACAATCAATCAATAAAATTAAAAAAAAAAAAAAAAAAAAAGGTAAATAGTGAAAACACCAAGGGTATAATGGGAAAAAAAAGAAGTTTGACCTCTAAAATTTGAAGCTTTGCATCATGGTCATTAGGAAGTTCACGAATCTCTGCACCTAATCTTACAGCTTCTGCTAGACTTTCAGGGAAGAGGAAATCAAGCCCTAACTCAACGGTTGACTGCAAAAAGTCAACACAACTCAATTATCAGTTTTTATAATTTCATTTGTTAAACAAAATCTATTTTTATTTTTTATTTTTCTGAGAAAAGGACATTAAACTCACCTGAAGATTCCTCACTTGAAAAGGACATCCAGCTGGGATAAATACAGCAACCCCTAAATGCTGCTCAAATGACCATGCCTCTACACCTGATAAATAAATTTTTAAAAAAAAATCACATAAATTTCTACAATAAAAAAAACTAAAAAGCAACGTAAATATAAAAAAAACTTACCAAATTCTTCTTTTAATTTGTTTTTATGATGACTATTTAGATATATCACTCCTTCATGAAGAGGTCGTGGTACCTAACATAAACCAAGTCATCTATTAAAAAATATAAATACACCCTGTTCACAAGCCACCTAACTTATACAAAAAAGTGAAATCACATTAATGACCATTTTACCCCTACAATCCAAACAACAAATTACATCCTGTATGGGACTATGCGTAAATAAGTGTATTGATTGATGTTTGTGTGGATAAAGTGTTTTTATGCGTAAGGTCTGTTTCTTTTCTAGATTGATAAACCATGTGAACGAGACTAAATGACCATTTTACCCTTACATTCAAATTTCACAAAGTTGGGAGGAAAAAAAAAGAAGAAGGAAACAGCCCCTTACAGAATCATCATCCATGATGTTGTGGTCAGAGACACCGAATTCATTCCAATGAAGTCTCATATACTCAACGAGCTTCGGAACATCCTCACGCCTGTAAATGTCCCAAATTGCCCCTGGACGACTCGTGTCTTCACTAGTTCCATTCAGATCTTCACATTTAAGAGTTTTCTCATCTTCAATTGAATCAATAATCAAGTCCTCATTATTATTTTTCCTATTTACATTTACTTCACATGTATGAACCAACAGGTACACCACATCACGCATATTAAAACGAAGCATGTTGACCGAATCACCTTCACCTTGACTTTTTTCATCATACGTTCCATAAGAAATCAAGATTTTGGGCCCCACATCGTTTTGCAAAGAGTAATGAGGTAATTTTGCAGCAAGATTCAGTAGGCCCCACTTGGAATGAATATACTCCAGCAATGGCAGTTTGGAAATAAACTCGGATCTCTGGTACAATAAAAACTCTTCAGATGCACTAGGCGAAGGCCAGTTTTTCAAAATTAACATTTCTTGTTCACCATTTTTCCCTATTCGCCCCTCCGAGTATCCTCTGATAAATTCTCCAAGCTCAATATCTATCTGGCATCAAATCAAATAATAATATACACAAAAAAATATATGCATGTCACTACTTTATAGAAAGAAACGTATGTAATCCATCTTGGGGAGATGATAAGAAGGGCAATTACGTCTTTTGCACAGACAATATCTCTAGGGCTATTTATGTCTTACTTGGAGTTTAAAATTGAAAAACTACCTCGGATCGGTCTAAACAATGTATAGCTTTCACAGTTCTATTATCATCCTTCATCTTTTCATCATTTGTATCTTGGATTCCTTTCCACATCACCATAGGGTCCCACCCTAACATTGATGACTCATCACAAATGTCCTTGATTATAACAGGTTCACCATTGACCCAATTCCTTCTGAACTCACTAATCCCTTGGCTGTTTATATCTTGACAGAACCCATCTATCTTTGGGAGGGTATTTTCGTACATTTTACACCCACTAACCATTTCATCAACATTTTTCACAAGCTTTGCGACCCAATTCATTTTAAAAATACGTTTCAACATCAAGGGTGAGTTGCCACAACCACCATGTTCTTTAGGTGGACATGGAACACTCCCATCAGTGTTGGCCTTCCAATCACAAAGCTTATTGGATAATCTCATCTTTTGTTTTGATAACTTTTCAAGGGTAGAATCGGAATCTTCATTTCCTCCATTCGTTTGAATATTTCTACTCGCATCTTTTGATGCTTTTCTGACATCTTGGCAGCATCTGAGGCATATATCATATGAGCAATTACCACAGTGGCGATGATAATCGATTATTGGTATTCTGCAGAAGTCACTGCAATTGGAGATTCAAAATGAGATATTTTTAATTTTTTTTATTTATTTGTACACTATACTTTGAAAAATCTAACATTACCAGCACATTTGCTCATCTGCATTTAACTTTGTCCTGGGAAGGTCAATTCTGTTTCCTGAAGCAAATATAAACCAGAATAAATTATCTTTATATAAAAAAAAGATTAAATTAGGTGACTCAGCATATGAACTATGAAGTTTCAATCTTGAAAACTATCAAACCTCGAAGCTTTCTTTCTATTTCTAATTCAGAGCATTGTTCAAAGTGGATCTGCTTAATTACAGGAAGCACTGAAGACAAAAGACAAAAAAGATGTTCCAGCTTTTCTTGAGCAGGTATTTCCCGTATTTTTCCCTACAACACACAAAAAATAGTATAATATAGACAAATCTCAAGATAAATGCAAGATATAACAACAAACAAATCAATGAAACTACACTGATATTTCTTGCATATAACCCTACTTTTTTTTTCTGATCTTGTCTACAGAAATTAATTACCTTTATCATATTATCACCCCGTAAACAAATTTTACAGTTACAGCAACCTCGACATGCAGGACAAATTCTATGAACTTCTTCAACTGAAATGTCAGGATACCTGAAAGAAAGAGGAAAATGTGAGTAAACTGTAACTCAATGTAATGTAAATGTAAATGTAATACCCTTTTAAAATACAGTCAATCTTACCATGCAGTGATACATTCATCACAGTATCCTCTTCTATCACATTTAAGACACCATACAATCCTCTCTGTGTCATCACGCCTGCACTGATGACAAATTTGCCCCCCTGTATCCTCAGATGATTCTGAACTCCCACCAGAAGTTTCCTGAAAATGAGCCTATACTTCAAAATGTATGACAAAAGAAAGTACTTTTTTCATTGTGATTTCAACTTTTCACTTATTAATCAAATCTTAAAAACTTTGAGGATCTATTCAATTATAGCATTAGTATTTAGTATTGATATGATTGGGTGGATTACAAATTACAATGTTGTAATAGAAAGAAAGAAATGGAAGGAGGATACTACTTACTGGCATAGTATGCATCTTCTCAGATCTGCTCTTTGATGAATCAGCAACAGAAGATGGTGTCCTGTAAGCCCTTGGTGTTTCTTCAGACTCTGCCATATCTCTTTGTGGATCATCATTTGATTTTGAAGAGATATGAAGAGATGAATTCTTGAAGGAAGGTGTTTCAGGTGAATAACTGATCAGCTTCTTTGATAATTTTTCCTTGTTTTTACCCGAGGCTAAAAACTGGTATTCAACGAGTGGTGAATCCATGTCATCACTTTTACTCTCTAAATAACTGTCACTCTCACCTACAGATTTCCTCTTTGCTTTCTTGAGACTGGCTCTCATTGCAGAATTTGCAGCTCTTTTCTTTGCTTGAATGTAGTGTTTTTCACATACTGTTTTGTCTGGCATGGACATGGCATGGCATCTCCATTGTTTACCATCTGATCTCTTGCAACGTAAATCATCAGGGATTCCAGTATTATCCTCCGCAGTATGATTCATCATAATTTCCATTATAATTATTGAATAGAATTCAAAGCAAATATAGATTGCACTAAAACATGTGCCTAGATTAACCTGCATAAAAACAATCCAGAGATACCATAAGCTATAAGGTAGAACTCCCCCTTAACTTACTTCCACCTAACCCAATACAAAACTAAGATATTCAAAGATCCAAATCAAGAAAAGCCAACTTAGTATATAAACAAAAATTCATCGCAGGACGAACGCGGAACCACGATTGATGGTATTAAGAGAGAACTGGGATGAAACGACCTTTCTCCAAGCTTAATCAATGAAAAACCCTAGATGACTGATTACCTCAATTCCTCTTATTACTCAACACAAAGGAATCAATTCTGAGACAGTTAAAGTAAAAAAATCCAAACTTAGTGTCTGCAAGAACCGGTATACCAAGAAAAAAAACGAGAAAAAGAATTGGGAAACTACAATTGATCATAATAAGCGCAAACCGGGATGAGAATACCAGCAAAAGATATTAAGATTACCAATGGTAACGAATTGAAAACAGAGCGTACTCCAGGATAGCTCTCGATCAACGTTACGAAGTTAATTTAACGACTTTATCTGCAATTTCGCTGATGTTTGAACCTTTTGAGGGTGCGAACAGGAAGAAGAGAGTATTCCGCTTCTGTGGGGAAGAGAAGGAGGGACACAGAGAGTCCAAATTACTTTCATGCCCCTCCAGTCAATTTTTTAAAGTAAAACCATTTTTAGATTTATAATAAATAAATAAATAAAATCAAGTTTTCAATTTATATCAATTTCGTCCTTGTGATTATCAATTTTTGCACAATCAGCCAATAGCATAGGTTGCAAAAACTAAATCCACATGAATTCGATACGAATAAACATGTTTGGGTATCATTTTAATTAAAAAGGTTAACATGACACGACAAAAAAATTAAATGAGTAATATTATGGTTAAGAATTTCAATTCAAAAATGACGCGTTATTTATATATAAGGTTTTTGGATTCTTTAGATAAACTATAAGGATGTGATACCAAAATCACATGTAAAAGAAAAACATTGGATTAAGTGAGCTTGTAATGTGAAAACTACTTAGTTGTCCAACTCAAGACTTGGTTTTCAATATTTTTCGTTCTCTTTCATACCATACTAGGGTGAGAATTTGACCCGAAAACCCGAACCGAATTAGGCTTGAATAAGCAATTCGATTGGAGTTTCGGGTATTTATATTATGCTTATTCGGTTCTTGGGTTATTCGATTCAAGTTACCCAAATAAGAGTTTGTTTGTTTCTAAATACCCGGCCCGAATAAGCATTCCTCCTCCATTTTCTTTGATCGATATAAATTAAAATCACGATTTACACTTCTGTCTTCGTCGTTCATAAGAGGGAAAAAATCTACGTTCGTTCTCATCGTTTCAAAATCGACCAATCTTCTCATATATTTCCAAACTCAAAATCACTTATGTCGATCATTCCTCTTATTTCAAACTTTCAAAAATCGTTCCTTCCTATTGTCTCTAAGGATTCATAAATTCATACTTTTTGTAGTTATGGAAAATTGGGCTACAACTTAAGAAGTTCAAGTAAGAAATTAATTCTCATTATGTTAATCTAGTATGTAAATGTTATTCTTTCAATATGTTATTGTGTTATGTTAGTCTTTGAATGTTTTATGTTGATGTATAAAACTACATTGTTATTCTATTATTCGAGTTATAGAATCCTAATACAATTTATTCGGTTTTTCTGAGTATATTAGAACATTAATCATCTTGTACATGTTATTTGGGTAATACCCAAACCGAACCGATATTGGTTAATCGGTTCGGTTTTGGTTCATGTAATTACCCTTATTCGGTTTTCGGGTTATTCAAGTTTGGTCTGGTTCTGACACAAATAACATGCATATACCATACGATCCTCTCGACTACTCTTATTCTCATGACCTCGTCCCTTTTCTTCCCCAACTCCTCTTTCCATTTTGCACTCTAAACCCACTATAAATTTTGCCATTCCGCTTGCTAACTACCACTTTTTTTTTCTTTTTTTTAATTTGTTTTAGTTTTTACTTTTCGTCTACCCAACTCTTGCAACATGTTTAGTGTTTCAACCTCACGTGACACGAAACATTTCAAAGGCTAATCCTAACTCGAAACGATATACGAACTCGGCACGAAAATAAACGGGTTGACACGACACGATGCGATAATTAAACGAGTCGAGTTAGGGTCAAACCCTCTTAACCGTTTACTATTTTGAATCTACATGACACCACACATTTTTCAGGTCTATATTGGCACTCAGATCATTTAAACTGGTTCGTCAAAGGAGAACCTATGATGGTATTTTAGTCCGACTTTGTTTCTCTCTCTCCCCTGGGGTTTTATGTTGCCACTATTAAACTTATTAGTTATGTCCTATGTTTGAATTACTTACCGCTAAATGACAGTTAACAAAATCTAAGAAACTCTAACCAGTTTATGCTTCCAGATTGATCATCACATGAAGAAGAAATAAATGAGTTAAAGATTATGAGAATGACACCTACGATGTGGAGCCATTATGGAAGTACAAATTCTATGAACCCCAAAGTTATTTATGGTAAGTCATTGGAGTTGTTCTTTTATGATTTTAAAGCTTGATTTTCACCATTTTCTAATTCATCAGTTTTTATTACAAACTTTCAGAAGGTTACAACAACATTTTTATGGATGTGTAATCATTAGAGAAGTTCACTAAGACTGTGGGGAGTGATCACAACCAAACCACCAGCCAATTCAGGGCCAAGTAAGTATTTTAGCATTTCACAACCAACCCACTAGGTTGTGGAAATGGTGTTTACCGGTAGATTGGTAGTGGAGGGGCAAAAAGGAAGAGAGAGAAAGAGAGAGAGAGAGAGAGAGAGAGAATGAGAATGAGAGAGAAAAATGGAAACCCACGTCTTTCCATTGGATGTCTTCATGTGTCTTCACCACCACTGCAGCTCACTCAACACTCAACTCACCAGCCTCTGGGGCGGTGAACGTTCACTGGTGGATTGGTGTGTCACATAGGAAACACACGCATGAATTGCTTTCTATACCGGATAGCCTAACAGTCCTTGGAGGAGATACATGGATAGTATGAGTAGTTATATTGATTTCATCAGCATAAATGAATTTCAGTACATTAGTTAGATGTCATGGTGCAAGAATTAGGTTATGGCGCAAGTAAGGCTAAATCGATATACTACAACTTTCTAATACATGATGCTGAGTTGGATTATGAACTCATACATGATAATGATCAGGATGTCATTACGTTATCAAGGTACATTCCCATCGAGGAAATATTTGTTTTTACTAAACATCAAGTACCTCTTTGCACGAATATTTTAAATCACCAAATAAAGTCATTCTAAAGGAAATACAAGTTCAAGGGTCATCAAAATATGTTAGGAATAAAAAACATGGTAAGGAAGCAACTTCTTGTTGTAGAAGGTTAAGCATCAATGCTTATTGAACATTATGTAGCTGGCAATAGAACTTCAATCAAGTCATAAGAAGATTATGTACCGGAAGAACCCATTATGGTTGATCCACCACGCAATTCCGTTCTAAAGGACACCATTATAGAACCACCCAATGGAAATAAGCCCATTATAGATCCATCTTCGTAGGAAATGGATTATAAAAAGCCATGATGTATTTCATGTTTTTGATCCATTTGTTGTGTTTCACCATGACATTCGCAAAGAGAACTTTTAAAATGATTATGAAGGCAGCATGGGATCCCTCTATGTTGTTAGTTCAAAAAAACGGATGAACTTCAAGACTGGTATTTAGATTTAGATAGTGATTATAAAGACTTTATTGTGGAAGAAGACTTTGTCGATGATACGAAAGTGGGTATGGGGGAGTTCAATTTTAGATTTAGATAGTGTAATCACGTTTTGTTGATTATAATTGCATTCTAAACATGAACAACATACACATACTTTACTTTTCTTTGTTATATGATTTTCGATTGATGTTGTATAATATACTTTTTCTGTTCTTAGGCAAACCAACAAACAACATATATTCTGATTGTGATTGCATTAACATAAGCACATTCTGAACGATATTTTAAGACACCCAAATACACCTCATATCCTTTCTTAGTCAACTCTTAGTTGAAAAACCCACAACTTGAACGCTGGTCCAGTGCCTTAGCAGTAGGCCACGTAGTTGGTTTCTTGACTACCTTTTATAATTTTCATAATCGTACTTATTTTATTAGCTTTGGAAATAAGTTTTGCAAAACAATAAATGAAAAAAAAGACTCCGTACTTATTTTATAGCTTTGGGAATAAGTTTTGCAAAACAATAAATGAAAAAAGATTCGTTGGACCATATAATACAATAATAAGTTGGAAAAACCAAAGATAGTTCGCAAAATCCAGTAACACTTGGTTATCAAAATTTATCAGTAACATTTACTTTGTTCTTAAAGAACTAAAAATGATTTATTTTGATTCATGATATATAAAGTCAATACCTACATCTATAAACCACCAAAAAAACACAACCTACAAATCAACCAAAAAAACACAACCTACAAATCAACCGATTTCCACACATTTAAACCCTTCTAACATACACGAAAAGTTTGATGTCAAGATTCACAACCTTCGAATTGGTTAAGTTACGTTTTTTCCCCCCGCTCTTTCAATTTTTGCCACATTTCACTTGTCATTTAGGGGCTTCTTTGGATCATATGCAAGAGATTTTGCACGATTTCTGACATGGGTGGCCTAAATTCCGGTTCGGGCTATACAAAAACAATTAAAAAAACATATCAAATATAATAGAAAACAACAATATATCAAAATAGTAAACTCATTCATTATGAAAAAAAAAATCAAAAACAAGTAGAGATTGAAACCAACCTGAACACATAGAGAAATGATATCTGCAAACCTAGATAAAGACTTGAAAGAACATGCAGATTGCAAAGAAGGATCCACCATTCTTGACAAAGCTTCAATATCATGAAGCCTTGAAATCGCCCACCTCACAAGAAATTGCTCCCCACGTGGCCTTGAACTATACAATTTCACATCACCAAAATTCAATACAACAAATACCAACATACTTTCATTCATTTTATTACTTTAATAAAGCTATAATTGGATAGATTTTTTTAAAAAGATTTGCTATTTCTTCATTTAGATAGAAAGGTAACCTGTCGAAAGCTTTTCTGCCAGTTAAAAGTTCTAGCATAATGACTCCAAAGCTATAAACATCACTTTGGTAAGTATAACTTCCCAATTCGAGTTCGGGAGCACCATATCCCAACCCTTGCAACTGATAAAATAAAAGTTGTGGTGTCAAGACTCAATAATACTAAATGAAATAATCCACATACACTAATCATGTGGCTTAATGGATTAACAACTTTTTTACCTCGCTGACATGGCTTGATGGTAGTAGTGGGGCCAAACCACAATCCGATACACGTGCATTGAGCTCATTGTCAAAAAGAATGTTTGTGGACTTCAAGTTTTGGTGTACAACGGGTGGTTGACATAACTCATGCAAGTACCTTAATAGAATCAAAACACAAAAGTTTGATTTTAAAAGTTTACCCACTAATGTGAAATGTTGTTTAAAAGACATTTGAGAAAATGAAAGTCTAATTTCCCTGACTTTCTCTATTAAGTCGTTCTTTTTGCATTAAGTGAAAAAGAAACAACGATAAATAGCTTATGAACCCTTTAAGTCAATGAAGATGATGAGTTAAAAATATGTACTCACTCGAGAGCTTTTGCGATTTGAAGCGCCACATTAACTCGAGAATTCCATGAAAGCTTCTCATGGATTTCATCATTTAGATGTAAAGATTCATGTAAAGTCCCATTTTCACAATACTCATAGACAAAAAGTCTTTGTCCATGTTCAACACAATAACCCTCAACTCCAACTATGTTTTCATTTCGAAGCTTTGATACATTTGTCACCAACTGCATAAACCTTTCATCACTCCATTTCCGAGAAGTTGCATCATCAAGTTTCTTGATTGCTAATAGCTAAAGATAACAAACCACAACACATCAAAAACGCATGCTAACAACGCCATTCATATGCAAGAAATAGCAACATACTTCCATTTATTTGTTTATTAAAAGCATCTTACTTTCATTAATCTTCCAATTTCTTTATTAGGAGTTTAGGATGGGTAGATTTTTTAAAGTGCAATATTGTAATAGGAAGAAATGAAACTAAGGTAATATGATAAAAAACAAAATGCAAGAAACAACACTATTATAATAGAAAAGAATTAAAGCAATATGCTTTAATAAACAAATTTATGAAAGTACTTTCTTGCATAAACCCTTTCATAAAAGCCTCACCTTTCCACTAGGAAGCTCGGCTCGATATACAGTAGCAATCATACCATTTCCAACAAGATTCTCTTGAGAAAAGCTATTTGTGTACTCTTGAAGAGATGCTATAGAGAAAAACTTTGCAGAATTTACACTTCTCAAAGTACGACTAGGGGCAGTTTTTGGAACACCAGTTGGCTTCAAAACAGCCCGAGAAGGTTGAGGAAGTAGGGGCGGAGTTGTAAAAGTGCGTGCATTGACTTTTGTCATGTCTATCACATGATCATTCTTGCTCTTAGGTTTTGTTTCAATTTTCTCACCTTTAACCGATGACATTGCCAATGAATCCTTATTTTTGGTATCTGTGAAATCGATAGGAGCATAAATGGCATGTTCAACAAAAATATGTTGCAATATTTTGATTTGAGTTGTTTATTATACCATAGTTTTTTTTTTTTAAATAACCAAAAGAAAACACATGCAAGCTTACCATTTTCTCTTTGTTCAGATGGTTTTAAGTCGTTAAGCACAGAGTTCTTTTCTCTCTCACTCTTTGAAACTTTGACCGTTGACTTTTTTTTGCAGCATTTTGAAACACAAAAGCAAAGTCCCAATGCAAGAATGATAAGAATCAAGAATCCACCAATACCAATCCAAACATATTTAT